GCCTGTTGGCCGTGAACTTTTTACTACAGTTTAGCAGTATAGAATATGTCAATATGTTAGTTATGATGGAGTGTTCTTATGCTGCTCGTTGCGATTCAGATCTACTAATTTAATGACACTAAATGTATACTGTATGACTATTTATGTATACAGTCATTATTTAGATCACTATCGTCAGATGGTGGGCTACTAAAATCGCCTTTCGTCCGTTGTCCCTCCGTCCGTAAACAATTTCTGTTCAACTATTTCTTCAAAAGTGTTAGATGGATCTTTCTCCAATGCCATATGTAAGTTCCGCTCGTCCCTATTTGTGCCCATTTGATATTTGCGACTGATCAGAAAAAACAAATGACTGTCAGGCGGCCATTTTCGAGTTTACAGTGAAATGTGTTTTCACTTTTTTGAGAGGTATTTGATCGGTCTCTCTTAAACTTCAAGAGTCAAACAAACATGATCTACATCATGAACTCTTAATATATTGTTGATATCAAGTGAAATTGAGGATATATTGATATATATAAACATATATACATCATATTTGGGTTTTACATCAACAGCTGGGTGCCGGGTATACTGCTACGCTGTGCGATTCTTTATTGCCCTTACGCTGGAACGATTTTTCTCAAATTTCATACGTAGGATTCCCTCAGTCCTTACTTGAACTACTGCCCGTTTGATATAAGGATTGAGCAGAAAATATACTTTCATATGGATAAAAGAATTCTTACGAAATCTGTTATTGCTATTCCTTGAGAAGATTGGATGGATCTTTCTCAAATTTCATAAGTAGGCTCCCTTTTGTCGCTAACTGTGCCTATTGTAGCAACGGAGTGATCAGACAAGCAGTTATCTTAGGTGTCAACAATGAAACCTCGTTAATACTATCTCTTTAGAGGAATGCTCCAATTTCGTATGATTAAGGGCACAAATAGAAGAGAGAGGAGATAATAAGGGAAAATGTCCAACTTTTAAAGGTACTTCTTGTAATAACTTTCAGGTTACGTTTCTATGAATGCAAGTCCTAGTCTAGTTAGTAGGTCAACAATTTTATGTTTCCTTAACATTGTAATTTTAACCATATTTGTCTAAAACTATTTAAATTCAACAGCGAGCTGTGTATTCTTGGTGACTTTGTATGTTACACGACGATTGTTTTCGTCTATACCAAAAGGAATAATCAGAAAAGGTGGCGTGAAACCAAATATCATACCGGATGAAGCTGTTCTAGAATACAACATCCGGGCACCAACCAAGGCGGAGCTACATGTGCTCCAGGAGAAGGTCGAGCGTTGCTTTGAAAGTGCAGCAACAGCTACAGGATGCATGGTAGTGCACTATGATTTTTTTTGTTTTCACATTTCTGTTATAATCAATTTGTGTCGGGACTCATTTTGATAACGGCATTTTCAGAAGCCATAAATTCTAAGACCGAAAAAGTAAGCCTAGACTTTACCAAATTAATAGCAGTGCCTTAAAATGTCAATTTTGTATTAAAAATCGCACTATTCCTGCCTAAACAACCGCCATCAGAGTATTTACACAAACGGGAATTAAAAGCGAAACTAGATTAACCATTAATATTATTTACAAAGAACCATACCTCTTTTCACACAGAAAAGTAGTTTCAATATCAAATTTGAGAATAGTTGTTAATTTCAAATGCACTTTGTTTTAAATTTTTAGTTATGTTGATCATTTTGCAGGAGTTTGAAATATAGTGTTAAGAACTTTTTATTCAAACAGTGGACAGGTAACATGTATGTAGCGTATACTACTTTACTTCATAATGTTTTCGTCAGTTGAGGACAGTTTTTGGGGGAAAGTTATATTCATAAATCTTCAGAGGTTATCCTTTTATTCCGAGGACTACCAATCAAAATTGCACTTGTAGATTAACGACCTTCCTAGAGATATTACCCGTTTCACTAGCGCACATTGACCAACTTATAACTAGCGATCATGGTCATTACTAAATTGATAACCTCAATATATAATTGTCTGTAAACCTGCTCACTAAACTAGACGTAGTACGGTAAGCTTGTAATTAGAAAAAAATATTTATACAGCTGATCTGAGATTGTAGAAGGTTTATTTCCGAGAAAAGGGGGCATGGAATTCCAATCCCAGTCGTCCGTTCGACGGTTAGTCACCATTTTGATGGCACTACCGCAAATGTGTGGATCAATATAGCAAAGCTTCTAAAGTTAACAACTCTTTTAACGTAAGCAGCAAGCTACTTACTGCAATATTTATATAGCTGTTCACGTGTACTGTAGATTAAACAGTCGAAAAATTTATGGTGCCGTAGCGGTATAGTTTTTAACAAAGAACAGTTCGGTGGCTCCTGATCTTACAAACATAATCAACTGTTGAATAAATGATGAAAGATATAGAATCTAAAACCAAAAGCAAGTACTTGTTGCAACACTGACATAAAACAAATGTATCTGAATGTAATTACCAACCGATACCTGTGAAATTTGTGGTCGGTAGTGTGTATATCAATGATATAATCAAATGAAATCAAAGTAAAACGCAGATTTCAAGCATATACATTAAATGCATAAGCATATATAGATATATTTTACCGTTTAGTTTCTAATGATACAAATGATATATAAAATATTTAACATTTCTATATTGAAGAACCACTGTAATTCACATTAGTGAATAACGATTTTTCTAATGTAACACAATATACAAAAACATTTATACATAAGAATGTAAAATAGTGTATACACATCGCCTCATAAATCAGTCATCGGCGACATATGTACGTCTGCGTAAGATTTCCAACATCCTTCCTGAATAATGCAAGGTTGCAACCTTCCCCACAATCGGTTACCATAAGTAAGAGTAGGTGGACATGCAATGATTTGAAATAAAAGATTCATATGAATCATATTCTAAACAGTTCTAGTTCAGCATGCGTCGAATATATTAGTTTGAGTCTATTGATGAATACACATTCTTGAATGTGATCAGAACAAGAAGTATTTTGGAGACGAATAAATAACTGAAAGAAATATATCTAAGTAATCCAGACAACCAGTATTTCAACGTCAAAGAAATTAATTGATGTTATGGTGAATTTCTAGAATAGCCTTTTACAACAGGTTGAGTACAAATATTCTGAGGTGCCGTATCTAAACTTCATCAGCAATGAAGCACTGGCGTCATCGTTCGAGACAAACGCAAACACACTGGGACTAGATTTCAAGACACATGAGCCGCCAACAGGCGACGCTTCTCTGCCATCCTCGGATATTGGAAATGTGTCATATCTTGTACCCACCATCCATCCCGGCTTTTACATCGGAACAGACGATACCAACCACACCAAAGGCTTTGCCAGCGCTGCAGGTGAAGTTGTAATTTTGAAGTGGCAGCTGATCTTTCAAAACAAAAATATTTTCAAAAGTTATTTCCAAAGCCATGAAATTGATGTTTTAGAACTGCACTGGTTTTTTGTCGATAAATTTCCTGTAGATAAAGAACTATTCAAGCCAATATGGTGTTACAAGTTTACCGTTTGCATCATAAAATTCATACTGGATTCTATGTCATTGCCTGACGTTGTTCAGGATTTTGATATTCAATCTTTTGTCTTTTTACCATGAAGGTGCCCCCACCGCCCAGCCGTACACTGTACTACAAGGGAAGGCAATGGCGATGACAACCATTGACATATTTACAAACAAAGATCTTTTACATGAAGTCAGAACTGAATTCAACAACGAACCACAGAGAAAGAATTGAAAGCAAACAATGTTGGAATAAAGGAACTTCAAAGGGATATACACGTATCAATGATTATATAATAAGGTTTTGATAACGTGATCAAAATTCTGTATTTAACGGATTATAATCTCTTAAAAACATTTTAGGGAATCGAAATATTTAAGAAATGTATTTAAAGATTGGATCTTATGCTACGTTTTTGATATCAATCCTATATGTTTTGTAAATAAATCTGAATTATTCACAGAGAATACAATTCATATTTTCAGTTTTGGAAGAGATTCAGAATCGCTCAGTGTCACAAAATGCATTATATAAACCACATGCTTATTGTATTTAAGATGAGTATATCATTCAACATAAATATTATTATTTCTTTGAGACATTATTGGTATTGGTGGGTTGAAGTCTCCAAGGGATTGTATCTTACAATATACGCTATTCTATTGACTGTTATACGATTTGGAAATTATGGAAATTACACCTAATCAAATTACAAATTATTCTTTTATTTTTTCCTATATTTATCTAAAATATTGAGTTATTTGTCTTAAGTAATAGTATTAATAGTCAGTTTTTTTTGTGTTAAGCGTAGATTTGATACTTCCCGAGTTGTGTGTCCAAACGAAAGTAAACTAGAGAATAGTGAAAGTCAAATCAACAATGTTATAACGGTATTGAAGAAGGTCAACGTGACCTCTGCATAATGTTAATGTCGGCCTATGTCAGTTGACGAAGCACTCTTCTTTGGCTCAGCAGGTGAGAGTTGTGGATTGTCATGCCAGAGACCCAGGCTGGATTATTGTCAGGGCACCTGTCAGGAATACGACTTAAAATCGATAACATAGATTTTTTGTCATCTCTCGAACAACACACAATGCCTTGATTTGTACAATACATGGCCGACAAAAAAAAAATACATATGTCCTACATATATACATTGGCGCATAACACATTGACATAATATAATCATGTAATTTTTTAGTTCTTCGTGCAAAGTCTGCTTCCCCGTGTCAATTATTCTGCTCACGCGTCAATTCCTTATCGATGTAAATCAGATTAATCAGAAGGAAAACCACACATAAATTTGCCTCGGCAGATAATTTTTGAATATACATTAAATCGTATACTGACATATATACATTATCTATATGTATTAGAAGTTTTCATGGGGCCTAGTATATAAACACACTCGTAACTCTATGTACACAAGACAACACCTGGTGACATATGAGGTTAGAGAGTTAGTTCACGACAACATGGCCGAGTTAAAGACGGTTGCTTGTGAAGCAATCGACAAGATAACATCTGACCTCAACGACATCAGTCAGGAATTGTGGAAAAATCCAGAGTTAAACTTCAAGGAGCACCATGCCCATACCATATTGACTAACTTTATGGAGAAGCAAGGCTTTCATGTAGACAGGAATTACAAACTTGACACAGCCTTTCGTGCTACATTTGGTGACGATAGAACAGGTCCGCATGTGGCGATGTTGTGCGAGTACGACGCACTGCCAGAGATTGGTCATGCTTGTGGACACAACCTGATAGCTGAACTAGGCGTGGCGGCCGGTGTCGGGATCAAGGCCGCCATGGAAACATCCGGGAAACCTATTGGCAAGGTAGAGATCCAGAAATTCTTAAAACAGACATGATATATAATAATCTGACTACATTTTTGACAATCACAGGGATATTGACTGAAATCAACATATTAAGAAGCCAAGAAACATGAAATGCCATGAGTTGAATATGCTGAAATATATCACAGACATTGCAATATCGTTTCAGAAGGGAAAATATCTGATTTTAGGAATCCGAGAAATTATCCTTTCATTAAGTACGATCTTAAATAATTAAAAAAAAATTAAAAATAATTAAACTTTCTTACACTTTATGGGTAGGTCTTTACGTTTTGAATTACTTTATGGCTAATGTATTTGTAATACGTGACCGCAACTTAACCTTGGCTGTGATCTTTAACATTACTCTGTGTTTGCTCTGTAAACAGAGGACTAAAAGTACAAAGTGACGTGACGAATATCCGAGACGGACATCCCTTTTGTAAAGTATATTACGATAAAAGATTCACGGTGAAGTAGTTTGAAATGTATGTCTCTTTCTCAAGTTACAAACAAGAAATAGTGTTGTGTAAAATAGCTTTGCGTTCAATAATTGAATTAACTATACCATTGAAACTTTATGAACAAATGTCTAATTTTGCATTGAAATATATTTTGTAATCGATGTAATATTTATTTTCAATTATTTTGAGAGATTTCTTGGTTTTCTATAATTTTATCCTACTTCATATGCGACGAATTTCTTGAAATCATCACTAACTTGTGACTATGAATTGTCGTTTTGTATATAAACGTATACCAATGGTTTCTTAATTTCTTAATTCAATGACGTACACAATGCCGTTGTTGGCATTTGATTCAAGACTTAAGCAGTGTTTTTGGCATTTTCTACTAAATAAGATGGTATTTGAGTGATAGACTTGATAAAATAATGAACTACTTTAACTGACCTACCTCCGCAATATGAATTCCAACTTTATGAGGTATAATGCAAAATCTGTCGTTAGAACTTCCTGAACTAGTAATACACAAACTGTGCTAAAGACGCACATGTGAATAGCACCATTTACATTTAATATAACTTTAGAATAAGATACAGTATCAAATAGTGTCTTCTAAAATAAAAATATATTTCACAAGTGTGTCTGATATTTCAGTATCATTCACGAGTAAAATATATGAAAAAATTTAAACATAAAAAATATGCAATACGAAAATAAATTTCAATGTAAATTTATTTTAATATTCATATTGAAAATATTACTTACACGCGGCTGTCGAAAACCTACATGAATCCTCTTGAAATATCTAACCTGTTTGCTCCACATTCATGACGGAGATTGGGTTTGATGTCTAATAAGGTAATTTGTGTTGCATTGTTTGTTGACTTTCATTGAAGTGAAAGTGTACCATGTCGTGTCACTAGTTAACAACCCATTCAGGTTTCTGGTTTTGTGATTGTTTTAGTACTTTATGATTTGTTAGTTGAAGAAGACGATTTGTGTTCTCTCTTTTCATTGGCGTAAGTCTGCAAAAGTGGTTTTTCACCAATAAAAATAACATTTCTTTTAATAAGCTATACCTCTATATTTCACTGGCAAAAATGTGATAAAACGGTATATTCTGATCTTTGCCAGTATCTATGAAATAACATTCCTAGACAAGTGATTGGTATATTGTAAGAAAACGATTTAGATAGTATTGAACATGAAAATTTATATGGACTATTCAGTATTTCTATTTACTTATATTTGTTGATGAAGATTCCCTTGTATATTCATCTTCAATTTTGTTTATATATTTGTTGGTTTATTGTCAGTTCTTCCTTAACAAAGTCTTTATTGTCGAGTTAATAGAGATGAAATAAGCCATATTTAATATATACCCATAGCATTCTTTTTTTACCTTTTAATATCTCTCTTTCTTTTTTCGCAGAAATTTGTGAAGAAGCAAGTTTTCGTCTGAGATTGTTATCATGTCAGCTATGCGGAAAAAAATAAGTTTACAATTTTTGTACAGAAGCCATGTAATGGGACATTAAGTCCGTCCACCTTAGCGCTGTTTACTCTTATCATTAAAGGACGAAGCGTTTGATGACATAGGTTTTTATTAATTCAAGGCATAGCAAAATCTTAAATGATATTTAAGGGAAGGGAAATTCAGAACTTTTTTATTATGAAATATTATTCTTTTAAGAATCTTTATTTCTCTGTAGCTGACAGTTCTCGGAACCCCGGCAGAAGAAGGAGGAGGAGGAAAAGTCATCTTAATAAACAAGCATGCTTTTGACAATATTGATGTTGTGATGATGTCACATCCGGGTCCATATGATATTGTGAGGTCACGAATGATAGCTATTAACAGGTTTGAAAATAACAATTATTATCAAAAGAAAAAAGACTATCGCTTGGCAGCATACATCCTAAACACATTGCACTTTCACTAACAATGATAATAAGGATATAAGAAGTATGTGTTTCAAAGTAAAACATTTTATTTGAGGGCATATCCGACATAACATCAGATATAATCAGAACGTAATCGGAAATATAACTCTGGGCCTATCTACACTCAATGATTAACTTTACCAATCATTCGTGCCGACTTTATCTATAACCTCTTAATATCTTTGTTTACAGGGTTACAGTCACGTATAAGGGCAAAGCCAGTCACGCCGCTGCCTTCCCTTGGGAAGGTATAAACGCACTGGACGCGGCAGTCACGTGCTACCAGACCGTGTCCTGTATGCGCCAACAGATGAAGCCGACATGGAGAGTTCACGGTAATAAAGATACCTTGTGTCATTTTATTCGCGTGTTGGCCGTGGACTTTTTACTACAGTTTGGCACTATAGAATATGTCAATATGTTAGTTATGATGGAGTGTTCTAATGCTGCTCGTTGCGATTCAGAACTACTAATTTAATGACTCTTAATGTATACTCTATGATTATTTATGTATACAGTCATTATTTAGATCGCTATCATCAGATGGTGGGCTACTAAAATCGCCTTTCGTCCGTGGTCCCTCCGTCCGTAAACAATTTCTGTTCAACTATTTCTTGAAAAGTGTTAGATGGATCTTTCTCCAATGCCATATGTAAGTTCCACACGTCCCAATTTGTGCCCATTTGATATTTGCGACTGATCAGAAAAAACAAATGACTGTCAGGCGGCCATTTTCGAGTTTTACAGTGAAATGTGTTATCACTATTTTTGAGAAGTATCTGATCGGTCTCTCTCAAATTTCAAGAGTCAAACAAACATGATCTACATCAAGATATGAACTCTTAATATATGGTTGATAAATGTATGAATAATATGTTGATATCAAGTGAAATTGATGATATATTGATATAAATAAATATATGTATATATATACACCAACATCTGGGAGCGGGGTATAATGCTACGCTGTGTGATTCTTTGTTCTTTATTTCCCTTGCGCTGGATCGATTTTTTCTTAAATTTCATACGTAGGATTCCCTCAGTCCTTACTTGTACTTGTGCCCGTTTTATATAAGGACTGAGCAGAAAATATTATTTCATAAGGATAAAAGAATTCTTACGAAATCTGTTATTGCCATTTCATAAGTAGGCTCTCTTTTGTCCCTAACTGTACCTGTTGTAGTAACGGAGTGATCAGAACAACACCATTGATGACAAAAGGCCATCTTAGATTTTGCCTTATAAAGATTGATATCACTGAACTTTGAGAAGTACTGGACGGATCTCTCGCGAATTTCATATTTAGGTTCCCCTAATTGTGCGCGTTTGGTTAATGAAATGGTCAGAAAAAAACCTCGGTAATACTATCTCTTTAGAGGAATGCTCTGATTAAGGGCATAAATAGAAGAGAGAAGAAAAAATAAGGGAAAAGTCCAACTTTTAAAGGTACTTCTTGTAATATCTTTCAGGTTACTTTTCTATGAATGAGAGTGCTAGACTAGTTAGTAGGTCAACAATGTTATGTTTCCTTAACATTGTAAGTAATTTTAACCATATTTGGCTGAAAACTATTTAAATTCAACAGCGAGCTGTGTATTCTTGATGACTTTGTATGTTACACGACGATTGTTTTCATCTATACCAAAAGGAATAATCAGAAAAGGTGGCGTGAAACCAAATATCATACCGGATGAAGCTGTTCTAGAATACAACATCCGGGCACCAACCAAGGCGGAGCTACATGTGCTCCAGGAGAAGGTCGAGCGTTGCTTTGAAAGTGCAGCAATAGCAACAGGATGCAAGGTAGTGCACAATGATTTTTTTTTAAATTTCACATTTTTGTTATAATCAGTTTGTGTCGGGACCCATTTTGATAACGGCATTTCCAGAAGCCAAATTAAATTCTAAGACCGAAAAAGTAAGCCTAAGACTTTGCCAAATTAATAGCAGTGCCTAAAAAGGGCAATTTTGTATTAAAAATCGCACTATTTCTGCCTAAATTACAACCGCCATCAGAGTATTTACCAGAACGGGAATTAAAAGCGAAACTAAATTGACCATTAATACTATTCACAAAGAACCATAATTCTTTTCAATCAGAAAAGTAGTTTCCATATCAAATTTGAGAATAGTTGTTAATTTCAAATGCACTTGCAGGAATTTGAAGTATAGTGTTAAGACCTTTTTATTCAAACAGTGGACAGGTAACATGTATGTACTTTACTTCATAATGTTTTCGTCAGTTGAGGACAGTTTTTGGGGGAAAGTTATGTTCATAAATCTTCGGAGGTTATCCTTTTATTCCGAGGACTACCAATCAAAATTTCACTTGTAGATTAACGACCTTTCTAGAGATATTACCCGTTTCACTAGCACACATTGACCAACTTATAACTAGCGATCATGGCCATGACTAAATTGATAACCTCAATATTTGAATGCATGTAAACCTGCTCATTAAACAAGACGTAGTACGGTAAGCTTGTAATTAAAAAAAAATATTTATACAGTAATCCGATTAATCCGATGTGAACGACCGAAGCGACTTTACAGCAACAACAGCTGATCTGAGTTATACGGTGATGCTGAGAAGGTTTACTTCCGAGAAAAGGGGTATGGAATTCCAATCCCAGTCGTCCGTTCGACGGCTAGTCACCATTTTGATGGCACTACCGCAAATGTGTGGATCAATATAGCAAAGCTTCTAAAGTTAACAACTCTTTTAACTTAAGAAGCAAGCTACGTACCGCAATATCTATATAGCTGTTCACGTGTACTGTAGAGTAAACAGTCGATAAATTTATGGTGCCATAGCTGTATAGTTTTTAACAAAGAAAAGTGCGGTGTCTCCTGATCTTACAAACATAATGAACTGTTGAAAAACCAAAAGCAAGTACTTGTTGCAACACTGACATAAAACAAATGTATCTAAATGTAATTACCAACCGATACCTGTGAAATTTGTGGTCGGTAGTGTGTATATCAATGATATAATAAAATGAAATCAAATTAAAACGCAGATTTTAAGCATATACATTAAATGTATAAGCATATATAGATATATTTTACCGTTTAGTTTCTAATGATACAAATGATATATAAAATATTCAAAATTTCTATATTGAAGAACCACTGTAATGTAATTTACATTAGTGAATAACGATTTTCTAGTGTAACACATTTATACATAAGAACGTAAAATTGTATATACACCTCGGCTCATAAATCAGTGATCGATCTTGGCGACATATGTACGTCTGCGTAAGATCTCCAACATCCTTCCTGAATAATGTAAGGTTGCAACCTTCCCCACAATCGGTTACCATAAGTCAGAGTAGGTGGGCATGAAATGATTTGAAATCAAAGATTCATATGAATCATATTTTATACAGTTCTAGTACAGCATGCGTCGAATGTATAAGTTTGAGTCTATTGATGAATACACATGCTTGAATGTGATCAGAACAAGAAGTATTTTGGAGACGAATAAATAACTGAAAGAAATATATCTAAGTAATCCAGACAACCAGTATTTCAACGTCAAAGAAATTAATTGATGTTATGGTGGATTTCTAGAATAGCCTTTTACAACAGGTCGAGTACAAATATTCTGAGGTGCCTTATCTAAACTTCATCAGCAATGAAGCACTGGCGTCATCGTTCGAGACAAACGCAAACTCACTGGGACTAGATTTCAAGACACATGAGCCGCCAACAGGCGACGCTTCTCTGGCATCCTCGGATATTGGAAATGTGTCATATCTTGTACCCACCATCCATCCCGGCTTTTACATCGGAACAGACGATGCCAACCACACCAAAGGCTTTGCCAGTGCTGCAGGTGAAGTTGTAGATTTTTGAAGTGGCAGCTGTTCTTTCAAAACAAAAATATCTTCAAAAGTTATTTCCAAAGCCATAAAATTGATGTTTTAGAACTGTACTGTTTTCGTTTTGATACATTTCCTGCAGATAAAGTACTATTCAAGCCAATATGGTGTTACAAGTTTACCGTTTGCATCATAAAATGCATTCTGGATTCTATGTCATTGCCTGACGTTGTTCAGAATTTTGATATTCAATTTTTTGTCTTTTTACCTTGAAGGTGCCCCAACCGCCCAGCCGTACACTGTACTACAAGGAAAGGCAATGGCGATGACAGCCATTGACATATTTACAAACAAAGATCTTTTACATAAAATCAAAGCTGAATTCGATAACGAACCACAGAGAAAGAATTGAAAGCAAACACTGTTGGAATAAAGAAACTTCAAAGGGATATACACGTATCAATGATTATATAATAAGGTTTTGATAACGTGATCAAAATTCTGTATTTAACGGATTATAATCTCTTAAAAACATTTTAGGGAATCGAAATGTTTAAGAAATGTATTTAAAGATCGGATCTTATGCTATGTTTTTTTTAAACATCAATCCTATATGTTTTGTAAATAAATCTGAATTATTCACAGAGAATACAATTCATATTTTCAGTTTTGGAAGAGATTCTGAATCGCTCAGTGTCACAAAATGCATTATATAAACCACATGCTTATTGTATTTAAGATGAGTATATCATTCAACATAAATATTATTATTTCTTTGAGACACAATTGGTATTGGTGGGTCGACGTCTCCAAGGGATTGTATCTTACAATTTCTTTATTCTCCCCTAGGATTGAATATATGCTATTGTATCGACTATTATACGATTTGGAAATTATGGAAATTAGACTGAATCAAATTACAAATTATTCTTTTATTTTTTTTTTTAATATTTATCTAAAATATTGAGTTATTTGTCTTAAGTAATAGTATTAACAGTCAGTTTTGTGTGTTAAACGTAGATTTGGTACCTCTCGAGTTGTGTTTCCAAACGAGAGAATAGTGAAAGTCAAATCAACAATGTTATAATGGTATTGAAGAAGGTCAACTTGGCCTCTGCATAATGTTAATGTCGGCCAATGTCAGTTGACGGAGCACTCTTCTCAGCAGTGTGGATTGTCATGCCAGAGACCCATGCTGGATTATTGTCAGGGCACCTGTCAGGAATACGACTTCTCGTGTTCTTTGAAAATAGCATAGAATACCGGTTCATAACAAATAATTAAAATTGATAACACAGGTATCATTTTTGTCATCTCTCGAACAACACACAGTGCCTTGATTTGTACAATACATTGCCAACAAAAACAAAATACATATGTAATACATATATACATTGGCGCATAACACATTGACATAATATAATCATGTAATTTTTTAGTTCTTCGTGCAAAGCTTGCTTCCCCGTGTCAATTATTCTGCTCACTGAGGTGTCATCTTTTATTTCATTATGTGTTAAATCCATAATGGGCACTGGATAATACGATTTTTAAGGAAATAACACAATAACATGCAAAGTACTTAGTGATAGATGTACTGGGGTTAACAATTATTATTTTCTGGTATGTTTCGCACGGAAATATATACACAATGCACACGGATGGCTGTAACCATTACTTTCATGTTTTATGTATTGAAGAAAATCATTACCAAATCATGTTTAATATCAAATTCAAAATCAATCAAAATAAGTATTTTCTTTGCTCTGCTTGATGTTTTCTGTCAACACCAAGCATCACCACTGTACACATTGACGTGATATATTATGTTATGTTGACCAAAAAACTATATCATACAAAATTAACAATAGCGGTGTTGATATCGTATATGCATTGTCTTCCCAAGATATACTAAACAAAAAAAGAAAGGTAACAGTACTTTATTTTGTGATTAATTAATTAACCCCTTCATAAATCCTTACCAATCATGTGCGAATAAAGTAATTGATCAATTCTGATAAAACTGCAGTCATGGTAAATTATGAAACTTTGCATTCATTTGATTTTATTCGACTGTAAAGGACGTTGGGGTCAAAATCAAAGGTAACACCATTAGTAACGGGTATGGCCACCGTTTGCGAAGTAAACAGCATTGCAGCGTTGTCGCATGGAACTCGTAAACCGGCGAATAATTCGAGGAGAGATGTTGTTCCATTCAGCGATCAAGGCTTGGGCCAGCTCCTGCAAGTTTGACGGCTGATTTTGACGTTCTCTCACGCGTCGCCTAAGAACGTCCCAGACATGCTCAATCGGTGACAAATCAGGTAATTTAGATGGCCAATCTAACACCTGTACGTTATTCTGCAGCAAGAAAGTTCTGCTGACGCGACTGGTGTGCGCTGGTGCGTTATCCTTTTGAAAATGGCGCCAACGCCATGGCGTCTTAAGAATGGCAGAACCACTGGTCTTAAAATTAAAATTCGTCCCGATATCGAATGCCGGTTAAATTGACATTTAACACAGCAAGCCTGGTACGATTCCCCCCACAAATACCACCCCAAACCATTACACTTCCGCCGCCAAAGCGGTTCCGTTCTGCGACGCAGCAGTTCGCAAAACGCTCCCCTCGTCGCCATCACACTCTGCGCCTTCCGTCACCGTGTTGCAGACAAAACCTGGACTCATCTGAAAACAGAACATTGTTCCATTGTCGTGAGGCCCAACGACGGTGAACACGGGTCCAGTTACGCCGATTATTACGGTGACGTCGCAACAAATTTGGTCCAGTGTAGGGACGCCGCGCTTTCAATTGGTAGGCCCTCAACCTGTTGCGGACTGTTTGGGGAGACACACGACGCCCAAACAATGTCCTTGTAGTCTCTACTGCGGTTACGAATCGATTGCGCAAGTGTATCAATCGTATACGACGGTCATCCCTGGCGGTCGTTTTACGGGGTCGGCTGCTTCGTGGACGATCGGATGTTGACCCAGTTTGGTTTACACGACTTACCAACTGGCAAATTGTCTTAACACTGCAACCAAAATGCCGTGCAACTCGACGGCGTGACTCCCCAACCTGGATCATGCCTACAGCCCTTTCTTTCTGTACTTATGTCAGCCGGGCCTTAATGATAAAGTTGATAGATAGCAAGATTCGGTGATTTCTACGTCCTAAGGAACTAAGGAACAGTTGTCACTTTGAATGTTTATGAAATTCAAGCGAAGATACAAGTTAGTCGCAGAAAACCTCGTGCAGCTCTTTCGCTAATACAGACTTTCACGATTGAATGATTTTGGTAACCCCCTTGGATTTTGTAATGTAAAACATTAACATTTTCTAATATTGCACAAACGTCATTTTGTTTTCACTCATTTACAGGTATTCGCAAAGGAAACGTTAACCTGATTAGATAATTTTTGTTTTCCTATACATGTATCGGGGGAATTTTCCGTTTGGGACTCCATAATTAGTCTCATCTCGTGTGTGTGTATGTGTGTGTGTGTGTGTGTGTGTGTGTGTGTGTGTGTGTGTGTGTGTGTGTGTGTGTGTAGCAGATACACTGCTGAGCTGATATAATCACAAGTGGGTTAAAACATGCCGACACATCAACACGGCCGTGTAAAAAAGGTTGTCTGTGAAGCAATTGACAAGGTAGCCTCAGAACTGAACGACATCGGTCAGGAATTGTGGAAGAACCCCGAGTTAAACTTCAATGAGCACCGTGCTCTCACCATATTGACAGATTTCCTGGAGAATCAAGGATTTACAGTTGAAATGAAATATCAACTCGAAACAGCATTCGGAGCCACATTCAGTGCCTTCCAATACAAATAACATTGTTACAACGACAAACATGTTTCATGGTCACGTGGTCTATCAAATCTGAAAATTATCTTCAAAGACATTGATGTTTGCTAGGCAGTTGATGAATTACGTGGTTTCAGTATTTTGAATTATAAGTTTTGTAACGGTTCAACATAAAATCTTAGAACACATGAAACATTTGTATTACTCAGTTTATTGATGGTTAGTATGTAGCTCGTGTAAAACAGCATTTATGCTTCCTTCATCCTTTTACATTGTTGAAGCTGTCGCTGAAAGTCTTGCCAAAAGTTGACTAACTAACCTACAACACCTGCCGTTCACGGCACATCGTAGTCTATATATAAATCCGTCTTTCACGATGGAAAATAAGTTCTGTCTTTGAAATGTTTCACAGACAGAACGTACCAGAAATGTTGCTATTGCTAGAAGTTAAAAACACGCGTCAATTCTGTATCGATGTATCAAATTAATTAAATGGAAAACCACAGATACATTTGCTTCGGCAGATAATTCTAAAATATACATTAAATCGTATATTGACATTAATACATTATCTATGTGCATTATAAGTTTTTAATGGGGCTTCGTATATAAACACACTCGTAATTATATGTACAAAAGACAACATCTGGTGACATATGAGGGAAGAGAGTTAGTTCACGACAACATGGCCGAGTTAAAGACGGTTGCTTGTGAAGCAATAGACAAGATAACTTCGGACCTCAACGACATCAGTCAGGAATTGTGGAAAAATCCAGAGTTAAACTTCAAGGAACACCATGCCCATACCATATTGACTAACTTCATGGAGAAGCAAGGCTTTCATGTAGACAGGAATTACAAACTTGACACAGCCTTTCGTGCTACATTTGGTGACGATAGAACAGGTCCGCATGTGGCGATGTTATGCGAGTACGACGCACTGCCAGAGATTGGTCATGCTTGTGGACACAACCTGATAGCTGAACTAGGTGTGGCGGCCGGTGTCGGGATCAAGGCCGCCATGGAAGCATCCGGGAAACCTATTGGCAAGGTAGAGATCCAGAAATTCTTAAAACAGACATGATATATAATAATCAGACTGCATTTTTGACAATCACAGGGATATTGACTGAAATCAACATATTAAGAAGCCAAGAAACATGAAATGCCATGAGTTGAATATGCTGAAATATATCACAGACATTGCAATATCATTTCAGAAGGGAAAATATCTGATTTTAGGAATCCGAGAAATTATCCTTTCATTATGTACAATCTTAGTATTTAAACACGTGTAAATTGCTAATACAAAATTAATGAAACTTCCTTACACTTTAGGGGTAGGTCGTTTTTAAATACTTTATGACTGACGTATTTGTGATACGTGACCGCTAGTAACCTTGGCCGTGATCTTAAACACTACTCTGTGTTTGCTCTGTAAACAGAGGTCTAAAAGTACAAAGTGACGTGCCGAATATCCGAGACGGACATCCCTTTTGTAAAGTATATTACGATAAAAGATTCACGGTGAAGTAGTCTGAAATGTATGTCTCTTTCTCAAGTTACAAACAAGAAATAGTGTTATGTGAAATAGCTTTGCGTTCGATAATTGAATAAACTATACCATTTGGAACA